TAGATTAGTTCCTTTAATTCAAAGTTTTTTAAGATTTATTACGAGAACATTCAAAATGACTTCTGAGTGTGATTCCAATTTATTACTTGGCAGAATTCCTTCGCATTTTGCTAAACAAGTTGATAAGTCATCGAAGTCGTTCTTTGTTGATCCCTCGCAACCGTCATACCAGTACATTCTGCATTTACGTTCCGAGTTGCTGTAGTAGTAACGACGAACCCATTTTCCTTGCCTGCATGAACATAAAAGCCATTCTTCAAATGGTTCCAAACAAGCCTCTAAAATTGAAGAGAAAAACAGTAAGAATGCAATCAAACTTTGCCTAATAATTTTCAAATATTTTCGTTTTTCCATTTTTTAATTTTTGAAAATTAAATATTTCAATTGACAATATACCTGCGACAACAAAAGTGCGATTCTTGCCTACATATTTGAAATGTTTTAATGACTGAACCGTTTCTGTACCACGTATTTTACGTTTGTCGCATGTTACGCGTTGCGAAGCATTTAATTTTTTTGGCAAAATCTGAACGGTATAGTGCGGCTTCTTTTTGGAGTATTGGCCAACTAAAGTGAGAGTAGGTCTATTAAGAAAGTGCCTGTTTAAGTTCGAAACGGTGTTTTGCCGACAAAAGAGGTAAAGAGGGTTCTCCTGTTTAGACTAAACTGTACAGTGTTTCGGCAGAGTAATAATAAAATTTTTTTGCTTCTTAGTAGGGGTAAAAAATTCATGTTATAAATAAAAAATTTTTAAGAAAAAATGAAAAAAAAAAGAAAAAATTAGCTACTGGAAAAAGGTGAAACTGAATGCGTAGAGTCAATAGCGATAAATGTTGGAGTTTCACATAAATTCCTGCATAGTGAACGTGTTGGGAATAAATTCCTTGATTTAGATTTACAACCACCATAATAGACGTGTTGGCAACGTTGTTTCTGATGGTTGAAATACCACCTTAGCTCGAAAGCAGACGATCTACAGCTTTTGCTGTATATTTCATCAAAACGTTCCAAGCAAGGCCCTTAGTAAATATAGTTTGCAAATCAATTGTAGAATGTCAGAAAATTTTGTCACAGCGTTTTTGTGCCTCTTGTAATAAAATCACAGCAAAAAAACCTTTCTTTTCAAACATTTTATCATACTATATTCAACTTTTCAAAAAATTGTACAGTATTGACTGTTTTGTTCAGGTACAGACGAAAGGCAATTAATCCAACTTTAACAATCAATTCTCAGATGCATATTTGTAACGGCTCAGTTTTTCAATTTTATTTAGCTATGTTAAAGCTACATAAATTTGCTAAAAATTGTATTCTGCGCAATTAAAATAAATTACTTACTTGCAATCATGCCTTCGCATTTTCTTTGGCATGTTACGAGCTCCTCAAAATAATTACGACTGGAACTTTTGCATTGATCCCACCAGAATATACGACAGGTTCCTTCTGTTCTGTCGTAATAATACCGTGGCTTCCAATCACCATCACCACACATTTCTTTTAAGAATGGATCAAAAGGCTCCGAGCATTCATCAAAAAACAATAACTTTTCAATATACAGGCTGTTATAAAAATTGTTTGATATCAACCGATAAGTAAATTTTGTATATTCTTACAGAATAGTTTTCTATTTGAAAATACATAGTTAAGCTTCAATATCTTGTCTGATTTAATAATTAGATTACAACTGCATAAACCAACCTGCTACAGCCAATAAATCCTGAGCATAACTAATATTCCCGTTTTCGTTGGGTGATGAGATCATATGAAGTGAGGTTATTTTAGGTAATTTTTCTAGTTTTGCAGCCGTTGTCGAACTTTGCTTAATTTAGAAAAAACTTGTAACCTCTAGTGAGCCATCTGTTTGTAATTTTTAGTATTGTAAAATTTCTGAGAAAAAATATCTTCGAAATCTGTAAACTGTTAGTCAATTTGATTTATAAACAGCGCATTAGTGAATGAGTATTATTCATTAGTCAAAGTTATGCGATATTAATACTACCGTTATAATTTATTCAAATCAGATGAAATATTAAGTGGCATCAAAAGAAATACCATTTGTATCGTTGGATTACACAGTTTTTCGCATTCATAAAAATTGAAAAGATTTCGTGTAGCAGTCGTATGTTTACAGTTAAGATCAAGCGAGAAAAATTCACACTGTTGTGAAGTTAAGTTATAATAAGATCGAACGTCTTTAAAACCGTTGCAGTTACGCTTTAGCGATACATCGAACGAATCCAAACATCTGTCTAGAAATTTTTGAACAACAGTCAGGAGACTAACTGCTGAAGTGTAATTGCCGTTGAAAAAAGTGCAGCAAAATAATTACCATCTATTTTTGTGTTCATATGTTTATTAAATTTTAACTGGTGCTTTCTATATGGTTCATCTTCAGACATCTTTGTACAAGCGTTCTCACAAGACTATAACAGATTTTTTTAAACTTTCTTTTCAGTAAAACTTTAGGCACTAACTATAGAAGTAAGTTTTTTTTAGAAATTTTAATCATAACTAACTTTAGTGGTATCAAAAATATTTTGGCTGTTTATTGAACTACATCCACCATACCAAAACATAATACACTCATTAGAGCTTCTGTCATAATAATAGCGCTTTTCCCACGTATTTGAGCCCCAGCAATCGTGCTGATAAGTTTCGTCAAACGGTTTTAAACACCGTTCTAAAAATCAAGTTTAGGAAAATAATCATTATTTCAATGATTAGGGTAATGACAAATTAAAGTTCAAACTTTGGTAAGCACTATAGATACACTGATTACCTTTGTCCTGAATAACTGCAGATGGCTGTGATAATGCTTGAGCTGAATGTAGTCGATTATAGTGGTTATGTTGTTGTCTATGATATACTACATCTGTAGAACTTTTATAATCCTAAATTAATGCTTAATCTTTACTGAACAGAAAATGTTACCAATTTTATTTTTGGCACTCAACACAAAAGTCATTCTCACAGCTATTGGTTCATCAAATATGTAATTGCAGAATAAGTTTAGTGTCTTTACAAACAGTCAAATATTTTTATGCTTTGAAACAGTGAAACAACGCTTTTTTTCATTTTTTATTCATCAAACAACTAAAGAAGTCTTTTCAGCGTTTGCCAACAGAAAATAGCTGTAAAATTTGTCTTTGACTATAGCATAAGAATTATTCAGAAAGTAATAAAAAATTTATTTGTCTAATTTGAAGCGTAATTCAAGTGCTGGCAGTGTTAATAATGAAAAACAAAAAAATTTGCAACAGCAACTGCAGTGTAATTTTGTTATGTAAAGTGAACGATAAATTATGCCCTAATTTTTGTAGCACACTGGCGAAAAAAAAAGTAGAAAAAAGTTGAGAGCTCACTAATGGTAGACAAATCTGTTTACAACTTTTTAGAAAGGTGAATATATTTCTGCTGTGGCTAATATAGCCACAACTTAAGTCGTAGACAAACGATATGCATTGTTGAGCGGTAATGTTATAGTAATACCGTAACTCCTTATTACCACCACAGTTCAGTTTTAGTGTCGCATCAAATGGATCCAAACAAACAGCTTAAATATACACAACATTATAAATCAAAGAAAAATAAAGAATGTTAAACACTTTTAAAAGTTATAAATGTATTCAATATCGACAAATATCGCAGCATTGGTGTTGTCAAAGGATATGTGCTAATAAAGTTACAGTCGGCCGAACGCAGTTTTTCAACGCTCAGACAATAAAAGGTTTATAATAGTTTTCAAAACAATGATCGCTGTAACTTAACACTGTTCTTAGGAAAAACAAATTTAATTTTTACGGAAGAAAAATTATATTTTTTCGTTCAAAAAAAATTGTGTAAAACTGAAAAACAATTAACCGTCAGCATTTGACATTTTTTTTGGTATAGCCATATGCAGTAACTGTTCAAGTCGTTCACTGTTTTCATGCTGTTTGACGCACATCTCTTCACAGGTCTGACAATAAAAAAAAATACAACAAAAGTAAAGATAAAAAGCAGATATAAACACTTTTTGATAAACTAGAAAGGAACCGTATACAGAACTGAAATAGTACTGCAGAGTATAGTAGGTGAAGCAGTATTTAAGTATTTTTAACTAATATTTATTAATAGTATCATTTTTTCTGTTCATTAAAAGTTTTTTTAGCTCCTAAAAACTGCGAATCTTTTTTTTTTACCCGTAACAGATTATGACTTTATTCTTACTTAAAATTATTTATGCGAATAAGAATTGCGTAAAACAGAAAGAAGTATTAACATTATCCAGTCTTAGCAATCTGTTTATTTAAAAACTTACAAATCTAGCACTCAAAAAATCTTTCACTTAACATTTAGAAAGCGTGCATAGGTTACATTTCAAAATTTTCAACAAATCTTGGTTGTTATCATTGATTGAAAAATATCTGGATTTTTGCTCCGCCTCAAAGGTGATAGACACCCGCTTTTTGTTCACTTTAATTCTAATTATCACATTACATCTGTTTTTATCATCAACTGATCTCCACTTGAACACGTTTCTGGAAACCTAAATTCGACATCTGTAGTGCTATAAGACCTATCATTTATTATAAGTCAATAAATTGATAGAGTATCTGTTGTCTAATCAGTTCCTTCTTTTATTTCACTCTTAAATTTCGAATAACTGTTATGTGAAGCCTTAGTTCCTGCATCCCCGCTTCTAAGATTGGCTTCGACAATTATCTTCAATTTGCAGTCATTAGTTTGGGACTGCCTGTGCAGACAGTGCTCACCTCTCTATGATTCATCTCCGTTTTCAGTTGTTCAAAACTATGCTTGCTCAGTTTGTTTTTTTGCAAAAGACTTCTACTCTATTGATCTTATAGCTAACCGCATCAGCACTGCTTCATTCTAATCCATGAATAGGAAAAAATTCTTTTTCAATTTTTCCTACATTCTAAATAGAAAAATTTTTAAACTAAATTTAGAAATGAAAAAAGGGGTTAAGACAACGATGCAATAAGAAAAAACAGCAGATGATCCTCCCATTGGCAATTGTGTAACAAAATACCCCTTATCAAACAGTTTACCCGGTTAGAAAAGCTCAAAAGTTTATTTATACTTACATTTTGGCAATTTTCTTTTAAAGTCACCTCTCAATATGATGCGATTTAAAAACTAATCAAAACATTTAGTAAAAGCATTAATAGCTGCCTAATTTACGTTAGCTTCAACAACAACAAAAAGAAAAAAATAAATAAGAATAAGATTTGGTATTAAGTCGATATAAAACTATACATTTGATAAAAAACGACAAAAAAAAAAGCAAATTTCAATAAAACGAAGCAAAACAAAAAAAGACAAAAAGAGAGAGAAAAAACACCTGGACATCATTGAAAAAATTTTGATTATTCATTGATGTACATCCACCGTACCAAAACCGTTGACAAAAATTCAGTGATGCATTGTAAAAATGTCGAATTTCCCAGGTACCGCTACATAGTCGGTTATTTTTCTCATCAAATCTTTGCCTACACACATCTGAAGAAGTTTTTTTTTTAAAAGATAACTCAAACGAAAAAAAGCGTTTTTAATTTCTCAAAAAAAAAAAAAAAAAAAAAATATATATATATAT